AAATTGGTAAAAAAAAAAAAAAAAGGAGGGGTGGGTAGGCAGGGGCTATTGCCAGAAACAAAAACAGCAACAACAAAAAAACACAACCCACAGCCTAAGGCCAACTACAGAAAAACAATGCAGACAAAGGGTATATATGAAGAAATGACAACCATGGAGTACTATTCGAATAACCATAAGAAGATGGAGACTTTACACCTTTTGTATTAACCTGGATGGAGTTGAAGATCATTCTCCCTAGTAAAGTATGGCAATAATGGAAAAGCAAGTATCCAATGTCCTCAATACTAATATGAAATCAACAGATGAACAACTACATGCCCATACAAGAGAAAAACCCAATAAAATCCAAGTGGGGATGAGGAGGCGGGGGAAAGAGAGAGGGAAAAGAAGGAAGGGAGGAGGATGATTAACATGCTCTGACCTAACTGGCCAACATAAGGGTAGATGGCACATCTCCTAGGTGAAGAGCTCAACTACAACTTGGACTTTACCTAACACACACACACACACACACAAACAGTGTAACCTAATCATTAGTACCCTCATATTAATTCTGAAATAAAAAATACATATGTAAAAGAACATTGCCACAAAAGTTTTAAAATTCAATGTAAAGGCAGATTGAACAGCACTCAGAGCAAAAGAGAGAAATGCAATCTGGAAGATAAAAAACAACAACAAATTACTAGAATGCTGCACAGAAAGATAAAGGAATTTCAAGATAAGCAAGGGATTAAAATGTACTATTTAAAATTAAAAGCTACACCAAGAGCTAGTAGGGAAGAATAGAGAAAACAGAAAAGAAGGCTGTATTCAGAGACATAACAACTATGAATTTTTCAGAACTGACAAAGGGCACAATCTCTCTATTTAGAAAGCACTATAAGCCCATGGCAAGAGAAGTAAAAACACATACCTAAAAATATTGTAGGATACATCAAATACCAAGTAAAAGAAAATCTGAAAAACAAATAGAAGAAAAATACCAATTCCCACAAATAGATCAACAGCAGATTTCTCAATAGTAACAACCAAGGTCAGAAGAAAATGAAGTGATATTTCCAAATTCTTGGAAAAATAACTGATAATCAAGCATTCTATACTCAGCTAAACTGCATTCAAGAGTATGGGAAAAAACAAAGGTATTTTCAGAAAAACCTGAGAACATTTACCACCCACAGACCATCAATGTCATATACCTCCTAAAGGGTGAGTGTCTTAGTAGTGAGAATGTGAGACACAGAAAAAATGAGTGTGATGAAGGAAGGAATGTGGAACCAAGAAACAGGCAAACTTTGGGTAAATCCAACTACAACTGACAATAAATATAACAACAACAATGGGGATGGCTAATGATGGGGAAAGTTAAAAATGATGTGGACAAACCCACTAAAGCCAAGGAAATTAACAGAATTTCAGCAAAGAAAGATACAGAAGTCTAAAACATGCGAGAGAAGCCGAGTCAAGCTAAGAATCAATGAAAAGGCCCAACAAATGGCTAATAGGAGAAAACAGGATTTGTGAGAGGAAAATGCACAGACGGTGGACAGTAGAAGAAGTTAAAGCTCTCTAGAGGTATTTTTACTTCTAGACTACATTAAATTCTTACATACTTAAGAATACGCTAAGAGAAATATAATTGTTTCTTAAAGAAGAAGAAAGATTATAAGGGACACTCAAATCATCAGTAGAAGGTATGGGGGGGGGAGTAAATCAAAATAAGTAAGAGAAGTAGATCAAAGAAAGTAAGATCAAATAAGATCTTAGACATTTACTTAACTATAATCATAATTAATCGAAATGGATTCAAACAGTCAAAGGCTAGAAGCTCTAAGATTGCAGACTGAAAACCAAATTAAATCCAGATATCAACAGTTTATGGAAGATACACCCAAAACATAAAGCAGGGAAAGCTGAAAGCCAATGAACCGTGAAACAGAAACGTACCAACAAGATTTAATCAAAGAAAGCTACTGGAGCTTTTAATTTTAATAAGTAAACTAATGCAAAAAGCATAATAAGCATAGAGAACCCATTGTACGTAACAAACCCATAAGCACCTGGTGATAGAGGCTCAAGACGCATTCATTAAAATCAGCAGAATGGTAAGAACTGACAAATCCACAATCTTACCATGTGATTTTTAAACACAACTTTCTCATAAAATAGCCAAAGCAGATAAAATATGGATAAAGACAGAGTACTGAATAATACAGTTACCAAGTTTTACATGCAATGTCTGACTATATCCTAGCACATGCCACTGGACATAATCGCTCTATTTACTCTCGGCCTTGTGCACTGTACTCCAAACACAGGGACATCTGATGTCAAGGCCTTCGTACATTCATTGGTTCTCCGGCAATGCCTTCCAGCCCCATGTTCACGTGGCTCATTCCTCTATTATTTTTAAAAGTTTGCCAGAATATCATCCTTAGAGTCTTACCCTAAGTACCTACTTGAAAACTGCAGCTCTTCATTTCCTAACCTATCTACTGCTGTACCCTGATCTATTTTATCCCCATAGAACTTATTACTTAAATTTAGAAAATTCTGCAATTGATCAAATATATTCAGTTTCTATTCACTAGAACAGTGATTTTTCAACCAGTGTGCCACGAGAGGGTCTTAGGTAGGCTGCAAACATTTTTTAAGATTAATTATTTTCAAAAGAAGTCCAAAGCACAGCAGGTGTAGTCTTTTTTAATTTTTGCTCTTAGTGTGCTGTAGAAGTTTAACTACAGGTTTAAGTGTTCTCTACAAAGGGAAGGATATTTGTCCTCTTCAGTGATGTCTCTCCAGCACCTAGAACAGTGTCTGTCACCTGGTACTTGCTCAACTAATGTTTGTTAAATGGACGAAGTACAGAAATTGATGCAAACATATAGATTTGGCCAGAGGTCGCTCTTTCAAACTAGTCCCTACATATTAAAAAAAATTTCTAATCCCAAAATATTACTACCCTGTCACCAGCTAGAATTCTGGGATGCCTTCTCTTGGGTTCAAATATTCTTTCCCCAGAAAATGCACCATGATTTTATATGAAATAATTATAATTATGAAAGTACATCTTTTAAGAAAAATATCAAAGTTATTTTAAGATTATATGCTATTTTGAGATCTACTTTATTGTTTGATGAAAATATTTCAAATTGTATATGAAAACGCCACACTGTACTCCATGACTGTATTAGTATACACAGGCTATCATTTAATTAAAAAAAAGAGGCAAATTTTGCAGGTTTTTTATTATTTCAGATTAATATGAGGGTAAAACGATTGGGTTACATTGTTTAATTTCTAAGGTAAAGTTCAAGTTGCAGTTGAGCCCTTTACCCAAGGGGTATGCTAGTACCTTATATTGTGCACATTAGCTTAAACTAAAAATCTAACTCGCCTAATGTGCATTATGATAGAAAATGTTATCCAAAGTAATTCTGATAATCAATCCAGAGTTTGAATTATAAAGACAAAAGTTTTCATGTTTGGCATTAAAGTTCACTTTTATACCTTCCACACCAAAGAATATTTAAGTTGCAAAGAGGGTACCAAGAGCTTTGACTGATACACACTTATGCAGAAACAAAGAGATATCAAAGGCTCTTTCTACAGATATTCCTCAACTTACATACAAAAAAGCACTGTCAAATTTCATTTGTAATTCCAAACTCCATCCAGTATTCCACAGAATCTTATAAATATAAATCGTGGAATGTTAATGTGGTCATACAGGACTTTGAAGATGATATTCTTAACCCCCTTATTTAAAAAAAAAACCATAGGCCCAGAGAGGTGAGCTGTTACAGAAATAGTTATGGGAAAATCTGGAATCTGGTTTTTAATATTCAAGAGAAGAACTTTTATAACCATGCCCCTTACAATGGTAAGATTAACAAATCAGTCTACCAAAAAAAAGCTATTTCGCCAACAGTGTGGCTGAAACATTTAGCAATGAGTATTGCAGTCATCATTATTAAAGCAACCCAAAAGTTATATTGAAAAGAAGGTTTTATTAATAATGAATTGAAAGATGATAGGAAGGTCCGTCAATATTTCTGTTGGGACTCCTAACGAAAACTTACAGGTTCCGTCGAGTCTTATGGCCCTGGTTCTGTAATATGTACGTCTTTACCACAGAACCCAGGATTTTCCTTTTCCATGACAAGCATGTACCATCAATACGATTCAAACTCATCAGGCATAATGAAGGTCACTGGGGCCTCTCCATTACCTGCTAACTCTGCATATTTAAATTAAGATTTGTAAATCTGCCCAGAGATACTATAAGAAGCACTTTCTGTATTAGAGATGAAGTAACACTGGAGGCTGCTAAATTTTATTTTCTTGAAACAGAAGGGTTTTTAAAAATAATTCTATAATTTTCCCTCATTGGTTTTCATAAAATCTCCTCAGCTTTTCAAGGATGTTTCCTTTAAAATCAAATTTAAATAGCTGGCTTTACAGGCAAAAGCCACCATGACACTAAGGCCTCCTCCATCTTCACCTGTCTGATATGATCATTTCCTCTATCGCCCGGGATTGGAGGCCTTTTCCTGTTCTCCTTCCTGTCTTCCTTATGTAATAATATTTGAGGCTGAAAATAGCAGAATTAACTCTCTCATGACTGTTGAAATTTCACCTCTTAAAATAGGCAGTGTCTCATGCAGGAAGTAGGTTCTCTTCTCAGAAACTTCAAGAATTGTCATAAGAGTTAACTCAAAGCTCTCACTGAGCTATTTTAAATAGTTACTTGAATGAAACAGAACTTCCATACATAATTAGCACTGGCTGAGATGTATTTCAGAAAGGCAACATACAGCAGAGAAAGAAAATGTTTTATTCACTTTAAAGCTGAAAACACAAATGAACCAGAAAGCTTTTTCAGTAGTTACAGGGTATTATTTTTCAAAATCTATTAAAGCTAATTACTTAATGAAGCTTAGAATCAGAATTTTTCATGGTAACTAATAACATGGGTAAAGTAGCACTGTACATACCCTGAGTGGCTGTTGGAGGTAGTTTGAGGGTATTGTCTAACTTCTCCCAAAGGTAAGTTGGCCGAGGAATGCCTTCCTCTGAGCTACAGAGCAGGATGACATCGCTGCCAAGATCCTGGGATCCTTGGATTTGGCAGTGTGGGGCAGAAGGGGGAACTATAATAGGAAGAGTAAGCAATAAAGTACACATTTACTGTGAGCCAAGTGATGACGGCGGAGACATCAACATTCAGTACACTGGAGCCTCAGATAACATTGTTTTGGGGACGTACCAGGAGACAATCTCATGGCTGAAGCCAGAGGGTCATTATAATACCAATTCACAAGGACTGGGCACAGGAACAGGGCCTACAACTTCAGTGGGAGTGGGCAAGGAGCAAATAGGTAATACGGGGTTACGCTCATTGACTACATTTTTAAGATCTCTAATGGCCTTAGTTTTACTCTGCTTCCTCTAAAGAATTCTCAAGACCCTTCATGTCAACACATTCCCTATAAAATCATTGTTAAAAGAAGTCACTTTCAGAGGCTATTCCAGGGAAAAGCAACATACCCTAACTATTCTCTGGCTAAGACCACCTTAACAAGGTCCTGTGTTACTTTGCAAACACAAACCAGAGAGACACTTTATGCCAAATTCTGCATTATGTCAGGGAAAGCTAGAATACGGTTCAAGTAAGGGGGGGATTGCTTACAGTAAGACAGATAAGAACAAAAAGAGGATGAAAGAAAAATTACCAAAAAAGAACACTAACAGAATATAGTGCTTATGTGTAGTAAAAAGCAAGCAAATAAAAATACAAACTAAGCCCAGGCTTTAAATCTCCTATCAGGGAAGGTAGGTAGAATTTAAGTTCAAATGGTGATACATTTGCAATGCTAATGACTTTTCAATAAATATGTTTACCCTTTCAAAAATGAATAAATGAATCAATGAAAAATGAATGCAGAGTCCACAGAGGAATCAGGAGACAGGGGATGGGGGAAGAAAGAACAATGAAAGGGCACAGAGAGGAAGAGTAAAAACCTCTTAGAGAATCCTAACTGCTGTGACTGGGTAAACAATTCCCTCAATTTACAACTTTGACATGGCCACGATGCTATGGTGAAAAAAACAAAATAGGTAGCATTAATTATTAAAAAAAAAAAATTAAAGGCTTTTTCCTTCCTTTAAAAAAATCGAAAAAATAAATGAGCTTGGATAAGGTGGAAAGCCAGCTACCTAACTTATAGGTATAAGCAATCAGAATAATATTTAATTCCATTATCCCTCTGTACTCAGCACTCAAAAAGATTTTGAGAACAGAAATCACCAGCCTGGTCCTTAGTTTTCTTATTCTGTCTAAAGGCTAGAGAAAAGGACACCCTGGTTTAGAGCATATTCTTGCCCAAGGGGGAATCATAACAAGAATCCCCAACACCTGTATTCTCAAGTGACTCAACAAGACAAAAGGATTAGACGGGAATGCTGGGCAAGGACTAAGGGGGTAGATTCTGAGAGCCGGGTGCAAGGAAGGAGAATCAAGAGGATAGGCCTCCTCTAAGCACGTTCTCCATCTCCCCAAATGAACTGAATTTGGCTATCTCTGCAAGTGTCCATTTAGAGAGCATTGTTTTATTTCAGAGACAGAAGAGCTGAGAAATAAAACATGTTTAAAATGAATACAGTTTAGTGTGAGACAGCCTAACAGCCTGGTATAATGAGAACAGTGATGGCTTGAATAAGGTCTAAATTTTGGTGTGAACTTTACTGTTGTTCATTGTCTATAAAATCTGGGAAAAGGCCCTGAATCTATTTAGTCTCAGCATCTAGTTGATATTTATTGTTTAAGCAAGAATACTTTTTTAGAGTAAACGGAGGCATTATTAAAATTATGCCAGGCCAAGAGGTGCAGGCTGAGAACTGTGTGAGCCTGTTTAGTCTGACGCATAAATGAAGTGACAGTGCTGCCCCCATACATGCTGAGACTTCTGCTTCACATCATACCTACAATTAAAAAACCTTGATTCAATTTGCTCTCAACGGTAAGCTCTGTCCTGTAGAAGCTTGAGAAAATGAGAGGGCATTTTTTTCTTTTTTTGAGACAGAGCCTCAAGCTATCACTGTGGGTAGAGTGCTGTGCCATCACAGCTCACAGCAACCTCAAACTCCTGGGCTCAAGCGAGTCTCTTGCCTCAGCCTCCCAGGTAGCTGGGACTACAGGCGCCCGCCACAATGCCCGGCTATTTTTTTTTTTTTTTGGTTGCAGCCATCATTGTTGTTTGGTGGGCCGGGCTGGATTCGAACTCGCCACCTTAGGTGTACGTGGCTGATGCCTTAGCCACTTGAGCCACAGGCGCCAAGCCAAGAGGGCACTTTTGATGGTATTTTATACCACCTTTCTCCACCTTCAGAAAAAGTCATTGAAGTAGCTAGCTTTAGAGACTGCCTGAATGAGAACAGGAGTGTGAAGGCTGCATAAGAAGCCTGGACCGTGGACCAGAGCTGGAGCTGAGAGAAGATGGAAAGAGTGTGGAAGGAAGGGCAGGAGCAAGTGTGCTCCATAAGAGATTTTTGTTTGTTTGTTTAATTGGAGAATAGGGCATATGACTTTATTTAACATTTATACACAAGACCCCTCTAATTTCCCAAAGAGGTGTAGGGATGGAGAAATAAACACCACATGTGCTCACTTTCAAAACTTGGAACTAATTCACAGGAGAGTCTTTTTTTTTTTTCCTCATAGGAGGTTCTTAAGTAAAGCCGAAGGCACCTGGAACACTTCTGCCACTCACCTAACACCGTGAGACCAGTGACCCCGATGTTCCTGCCCCCTCTGTCTGGGAGGTTGTTGACCAGACACTGGTAGGTCCCTGTGTCTGACAGCTGAGTGTTATTAATGAAGATGGAGACGTTGGTGGCTGGCATGGTGCCTGTAAATCCTACCCTACCGTGGAACCGGGGGGCACCATCAAACATCTGTCCACCCTGATACAGGATGACCTGCAAAAGAAAGCAAAATGAGTAAGTGGGCCCTGGTATGCCCTCCTGGGCACGTAACGGTAACTATCTAGGAGACAGGAATGAATGTTGCTGCACTGAATGCTGGAAAATTCTATTTCTAATTCGAGAGTTGTCACCAACTTTTTATTATCACACCTATCCATAGGTATCTTGGGGTTCTAAATTCTCACACACCCTATCAGAATAACATTTCTTCCTTACCTAACTTATCAGAACACAGAAAATGTCTTTAAAACTACCCTATTATCAGCCAATAAATATTTTACCAGTTCAAAAAATTAATTTCAAAAGAAAAAGTTTTTAAAATATTAGCACTGCCATTCTCAGGCTTATTAAATCACACAGTGATAGACCATAGCTACAGACAGAACATAAATGTCATAAAAGGGAGAGTTATAAGTCCACGATTGCTGTTCTTATTTCAATTTCTATTATCAAAGTTAAATATTCATGGGAGAGGACTCAGAAGGGTGTGGAAGAAAATCCCTCTGAGCTGAGAATGGGGGACTCAGCTCTACTCAGGCTCTCCCTGTTAATGTTTGGATAACTACAGTCAAGTTCTTTCTTTTATGTCTGTCAGATTCCATCCTTGACTCCTAAAAAGATTAGGTTGAACAAAATGATCTTGAGGGCTCAGTCAAACCACAAAAATCCCATGGGTTCTGTTAAATCCCATGGGTTCTGTTGAATCCCATATTAGAAAATATAGCTTACCAAGTATTTTCAGTTAGAAACAAGTTCACTGAAGCACAAAAGTTTCACAAAAGGTATATTATCATTACGAATAAAGGTTTAGCTATTATATAGTTTCCTGAGCATTATTTTCTGCAGTGGGAGCTATAAATTATGGGTCTTTTTCCTATAACGGATACGGCTTTGGGGAGTAGCTTCCATTTTCACATATATTCTTTCACACTCTAATTTACATAAGACTCTTCCAGTCTGGCAAATATGCCTAGTTGTGTTTATTTTAAAATACTTGTGAAATCAACTAAACAAACCAAGTATCATAACACTACCCTGTTACTTCCTTACTACTGTCATCTGATAGTATAATCGCAGCCACCTGTGTTAGTGCCTGCCCTTCTGTCGTCTTTATTTTTTCTATCTTGGTGTTTTCCTGTCAGTAACGTTTCTGATAAAGTTCCAGAAGGATCCCCTTAACATGGATTAGATTTTTTAAGGGACTTTTTAGAAAAGATATGTGACTTCTGATAGCTGACCAGTAATGCAGAGGAGGAGGACCTGAAACAGCACAGCACCCTGAAAATGCCACCTTCTCCTAGAAATCAGACGTATGCTCAGGAGCCTTCCCTGCCCATCTCCTCCCAGAGGATTAACATGTCAGTGATGGCACAGGACGGAACAGAAGTACCTGTTCAGGCTGGTTGGCATTGGAGAGAGGAATGACCATCCAAATGACATTGAGGTTGATGAGGGCAGCACTGGTGGTGAAAGTGCAGGGCAGGACTGCCGTCTGGCCCCGGGCCACCTGGATACTCCCAGGGCTCTCTGACACTTCCAGGGATGCTGCAACACCTACAGAAGAAGGAACAGGGAGGTTATGTGCTCGCCCCTTCCCAGCGGTCCAAACCCCTTCAGAAAGGCTTATGTGTTTTACATTATAACACTATTCTTGATAAAGTGAGCAGACTCACGTGACAGTCTTACTAAACAACTGCTGACAAGTCACTGAGTCAAAATAACAAAATTGGCTCACCTCTGTACCTCTTGGAAACTACAGCTGAAAAACATTAGAAGGCTGTTTACTCTCTTTTGTAAGACACCATCTGGTATTTGCCCAGACTCAAATACAGCATGGGAGAATTCAACTGGCAGGGCTCGCGCCAAACTTGCAGAGTTGATGAAAGATGAGAAATAGATCGATTTTTTTTAAGTATCATTACAATAGCACACCATGAAATTACATGTTTATGTATAAATCTAACAAAGTACAATGTAGCTTCTATATGCTATACTATTAGAAAAGACAATCTAATTTTAAAATGGGCAAAAGATTTCCATAGACCTTTCAACAAGGGCTTATAAGCACGTGGCAAGATCCTCAATATCATTAATCAGTGGGCAGATACACATTAAAACCACAGTAAGAGGCCACCATACATCTACTGGAATGGCAATAACCCAGAGAAAATGTAGAGAGACTCAAATTTCATATATTGCTGGTAAAATGGTACAGCTGCTTTGGAAAACAGTTTCAGTTTCTTAAAAAGTTAAAACATAAATATACCATACGACTTAGCAACTCCATTTCCCAGGAATCTGCCCAAGTAAAATGAACATTTATGTCCAGCAAGGACTTGTCTGTGAATATGATAGCAGCATTATTCCTATCATGCCCCCAGTGGGGAAGAACACAAATATTCATCAACTGGTCAACAGATAAACAAATGTGATCCATACATGCAACAGAATAGTCTCCAGAGATAAAAAGCTTCAAACTACTGACACATGTTACAGCATGAATGTACCTCTCAAAAGCATTTCACTGAATGAAAAAGTCCAGACACAAAACACTGCACAATCTATGATTCCACATACATGAAATGTCTAGAAAAGGCAAATCTACAGAGACAAGACACAGATTAGTGGCTGCCTGTGGCTAAAAAGGAGTGAGCAGAGAATGTCACCCCCAAGATCAGTGGAACTTTTAAGGGTGATAGAAAACTTCTAAAACCAGGTTGTTGTGATGGCAATACAACTCTGTAAGTCTAGCAGAAATCACTGAATTTTATACTTTAAGGGGATGAATTTGCAGAATATAAATTATACCTCAAGAACACCGTTAAAATTCAAAAAAGAAGAAAACTGAATCACCAGAGCCAACTCCTGGGAAGTCAAAATAACTGTTATCTCTTCTGCAAAGAATGCCTGCCTCCCTGGGACTATGGAACCGCACGGAAATAACAGGACATTAAAACAGGACAGTGAACCCCTACGAAGAGGTTGTTCTACATCATGAAAAATACATTAGGTCTATGGCAGTACCTCAAACTACTCTGAAGTCATAGTATCTCAATTCTCCCCAAAACGTTAACTCACTAGCTCGGTTAGGATTATAATTGGTTTAAAAAATAAATGTACATAACACCTTCCTTCTACAGAACTTCATGTTCTTCCCACACAGTCTGATGACGTTCTCAGGAGTTTAATTTGCAGAATAAAATGTTTCATAAAATAAGCCATCTGTGACAGATAGCACAAAAAAGCCTTGGATAATATCAGGAAAAGCCTCTCAGTTTTAAAAAGGAAGTTGAAAGGCCCTCAGAAGCAGAAAGGGAAGGTTATTAGACGGTGGAGAGGCAATGAACAGAAGGACGGGAGTATATTTGTTATAACGACACCGCGAAGTTAGGAACATTGCTACTAGAGATATTTTTAAGATTAAGTATGGGAGGCAACCTGGCAACAGAGAACCTCCATCACCGCATCCTTCAAACAATACTGCAAGTTAGAAGTGAGTTTGATCCCCTGAACTGTGCAGGATGACGCGTACCGTCCACCACCGAGTCCCTGCTTCTAAGCTGAACTCACACAATCTTTGACACGAATTTTAAAAAGAAAACAAATGACCAACTTGTACTAAAATGAAAGAGAAAGATGTAGATGAGAAAAATGGCCACGACAGAGCAAGCAGAGGACGAGCGTGTCTCAGAATGGGGTGGGAGCTGGAAACAGCAGGTCTGCTGGCACAGCACAAGCCTCTGGGCAGCAAAAGCTCCGAAGGCCGCTCCTATTTATTTCACATTCTTCCATGGGGTTAACCCTGAAATCTCAATTTTTGAGACAGCTGCGTAAGAAATATTCTAAAGGAGTTGCTTTCGGAACTTGTCAAGATGTGGACTTGAAGCTGGACAGATCTGATTTGCAATTTGGCTCTTTCACGTAATTAGCTGTGTGGCCCCAAACAGGTCCCTTAGTCTGCGAGTCTGCTGCTTCCTCTGTGTAACAGAGCCACATAGTGTTACCGCGTCATCAGAGGGTGTGATGAGGGCAGCACAATGAGGGCTACCACCACTACTGCTTTACTAGCCACCACTGGGGTACACTGGCCACACCAAGCCACACTAAGCTATATGTACATTGGACGATTAAGTTTGCAAACTCATCCTGGGAAAAGTGCTAAATACCTGATTGCTGAATATCACCACAGTCACCTTTAAAGTAAGCCCCCCGCCCCCGACTTTGGGAAGCTATGCAGCAACACCAGTACCTAGTCCACCCTTCAAAGAACTTTTCCTAGGATGAGTTTGAGAACATAACTGCATTGCCAGATCTCATACAATGATATCTCTGATGGGTACTCCAGAAAAAGAGTTCCAAAACTGCTCTGAAGGGTAGACTAGGTGCTGGCATCAGTTCAGACTTCCCAAGGGGAGTTTCAATGGTGACTGTAGTGATATTCAGCAATGAGGTTACAGTACTTTTTCTAGGATGAGTTCCAAAACTTGACGTCTGACCTTGTGTATACACACACGCACGCGTACACACACACACACACACGGAGAGAGCTAATAGTCAATTCTGTGAGGTATCTAAAGACACTATCTCCATTTTATGGATGAAACTGAGGCCCAGGGAGAATTAAAGCCAACTCAAGATAAGTCACACAGTCACATAGCGAGAAAGCAGCAAGGTCTGTATTCAAACCCAGGCAGTTTGCTGATGGAGAACAAACACTTAACTACTACACATAACTCCTATAAAGCTTTCCATAAATTTTCATTATTATCACTGCTATATCATGTGATTACAAAATCTAAAACCAGAATGGACTTTTGCATAAAATCTTCAGAAATTCCTCCTACTTCTTGCTTCTGAATCTACAAATCAGTTTTAATCTGCTTCACCCATATCTCCTTTTAGATTACAGGAGTTTATCTAAAACCAAACCCTTCCTGCGAGCTTTGAATTCCATGCTAATAGTTCTCCTTAGTCTTTGCAGGGACCTCCTGGTGGCTGCATGACACTTGCAATCCTTCTCGGACTCTTAGTAGCATCTAACAGAAATGACCTTTCCCCCTTTTTGAAACATCTTTCCCGTAGCCCCCAGCAACATAAGTCACTTCTGGTTTTCCTCCTATCTGTTTGGACACTTTTTCTCAGTCTCTTTGGCTGCTTCACCCTTATCCATGTGGCTACTGAATGTTGGTATTTCTCAAAGGGCTGTTTTGACTTCTTATTCTAAACTCTCTTCCTACAGAATCTTATCTACTACGCCATGAATTCATTTCTCATTCACATGCTAATGATTCCAAATGTACATTCTTACCCAAACTTCTCTTACATCCGAGTGTCTCCTGGACATCACCTTGTGGCTATCTCAAAGGTACCTCCAAGGTCTACTTGTCCAGGACCAAACCCTTCCCTTCTGGGCTGGCCTCCCCTGCATATTCTGGCTTCTTTCTGATGTTCCCTATGGTAGTGAATGGCTCAAACGAGACCAAGCTGGACAAGCCGGGAATTTATTTAGACATCTTCCTTAACTCCTGCTCTCCATTACCTCCCCAACCCAACCAAATCTGATACATTTTACCAACCAAATTTCCCTTGACTTCCTGAATAAGAGCCTTTGTGCTCTGTCCTGTCTTTCTTTGTCTGGTTTGCTTTGTTCCAAACTCCAGAATCCTTAAGTAGAAACCTACTCATCCTTCAGATTAGCCCAATTCTCACCTTCTCACAGAAAAGCCTCCCTGACCTCTCAGTCTAGGTCAGGGTGTCACCAAGCACTGTGAGAACACTGTCTGAGCTTGTAATTGTGCCTTCATTAGTGTGATTGTTTCATGTATCTTCACCAGTCGACTGCAAGCACTAAGAAACCACATTAACCAAAACTTAACGAATATCTGATGTTAAATTGATCTAATCTAATTCCTTCAATTCCCACATGAAATTACCAGGCGCAAAGAGATAGGCTTACCTAAGGTCTTAAGATCTGGACCTGCATCTTCTGATTTCTCATAAGGTATGTTTGTTTCCTACCATGCCAAACTCTACAGCAGAACGTAGCTCAGAAAACAAGTGGTGAGAATACCAGCATTCGTGTTATCATTAGGGTTAAAGGATATTTATTTATCAACAGGATTGATACTGAGCAACAAAAACTCAATTTATCTGTACATATACCTGCCCTACTCTGGTTACACATCTAACACAGAAAGGCTGTTTTTATCTTTAGCTGCCAGAATTCTCTATGGAACAGGATTTTAAAAGAAAGTCATCTAAGACTCTAAGAAGACATTAGATATTAGATATCAAACAGAGTTTTAAGATAAACTACCCTATAGAATTTGTGCGAAGAAAATAGCTGAAAATTAATTATATAACTTCAAGGACTACGCAGAAAATAAATGAGTCTGGGAGTATAACCCTGTAAAAGAGGCTTTGTGGAAAGAACTTTCAAATTAGAGCTGTGGTACACTGTGAGTCCCACCCTGAAAAAGGACCTCATTCATTAAATGCACTGGGGCAAAAAATGCCCTAGTATTTCCTAGTGGATCAGATGTGAACACACATACGACGATTCTGCA